CTCTCTCTCTATCTCTCTCTCTCTCTCTCCTCTCTCTCTCTCTCTATCTCTCTCTCTCTCTATCTCTCTCTCTCTCTCCTCTTTCTTTTCTTCTTCTTCTTCTTTGTCTTATTATTATTATTATTAGAAACAATTTCAATGACACAGATGAATGACCTCTTTGTTCTAGTATATAAATCAAGAACCTGTTATGCTTTACGTTGTTCAGGTTGGCGAAGGGCGAGCACTCTATAACCTGGGCAATGTGTACCACGCACAAGGGAAGCACCTAGGCCGCATTGGGCCCCAAGAGCCGGGTGGATTTAGCGATGAAGTCAAACACTGTCTTCAGAAAGCAGTGGAATATTATGCGTAAGTAGCACTTCTGCAGATTTCTCCTCCTTTACTTTGTTTGTTCTTCATTTAGAAATAAATATTTTTTTATCTTTTGTTGTTTTATTGTTCTGTTTTGATTTGTTTAGCTAGTGCACATTGGGGACCAAGAAGTTTGACAGGGTGGCATGAGAGGAAAAAAAATACAGGGAACAGAATCAGTATCAGGAAACAGTGGTATATTTAACTTAATTAAACCTGTATTTTTGATAATTGCTTTAGTAAGGTGAGCAGTTTAAGAACTCAGAGGAGATTAGTGGTTTACAGTTACAGTTTTAAGACTAAAGAGTTAGTAGTGTGGCTGGCTTGGGGAAGAACGGCAGCAGATCTGCCGCTGTGACTCTAACCTTGGATTAGAAGCTCTTAAATTTATAGGATTTTGTTTTGTAGTTCTTAGGGGAATTTCTCCTCTTTACTGAGATTGGTGTTGTAGATGATATGTAGATTTGTTTGAGATGTGAATCTCTTAGTCTGCGTTAACAAATGGTTTTTGAAAGTCTTGAGAATAGGGTTGAATTTACCTTGGAAAAAAACATTGTGGAATGTGAGGAAAAATGGTCTTTTATCTCTTGCACAAATTAGTTAATGGCTTCATGCCTTTGTGACTGAATATGATATTTATATACCTTAAGAAAGAACTTGCTCTACCACATGTAAGTTGATGTAAGTTAAAAAGAGAAGTAGAAAATATTGCTGTCATGATGATTATTATGATTCTTATTTTATCATGGTGGTTGTTATTATTATATGACTGTTTTTATCATTATCATTATTATATTTATAGTGCTAACCTACGTTTGATGGAGGAGCTGTCAGACCGCTCAGCCCAGGGGAGGGCGTGTGGTAACCTTGGGAACACTCACTACCTCCTGGGAAATTTCACTCAGGCGATTGGATATCATAATGAGGTGAGAATTCAGTTTGCAAATATCATATTTGAAAATGATATACTCATGCCTGCATATACATTCATAAACCTACCAGTATTTGCATACATAAATGCAAGCACACGGACAGTCACCACTTTCTCTCTGTGGATGTTTTATAAATACTCTTTCATAGATGGCTATACTCTGCACTGCCCTGTGGTGGTTCTTTGGCCAGTAATCTTATCAGTGAAACAACAGTAATTTTAAGTTACAAAGCCTTTATTCTCCATTATGGTACGTCTTACCATCTCTGCTATTTTCCTCGTTCCCCTTGCCAGAGATTAACAATCGCAAAAGAGTTTGGCGACAAGGCAGCAGAGAGGAGAGCGCACAGTAACCTAGGAAATGCTCACATATTTCTTGGGGAATTCGAGACTGCAGCAGAGCATTACAAGTGAGCCACTCGCTTTCCAGTCTTTTAGTGTGGTGCACAATTGTTCAGATTATATTTCTGCTTCTCTCATTATGCTGCAGAAAATGTGGTTAATGTAGATGATTGATTCTGGTTGTTCTTTTCTGGAAGGCTTTTAGTCACAATATTTATTTATTTATCTATTTTTTTTATGACTCCAGTTCCTTTCCTTAACTATTTTACTTAGAGTAATTTTCAGTATTCTTATGGGAAATAATACTCCGGAAAAGTGGATGTGAAGATTACCTTATTCCATGCTGGAGGAAAATGCCCTAATGGACTTGCCTCTTTCAGAAAAACCTTACAGCTCGCCCAAGAGCTTAGTGACCGTGCTGTGGAGGCCCAGGCCTGTTATTCCTTAGGCAATACATACACATTATTACGTGACTATCCCATGGCGATCCATTACCACCTGCGGCACCTGGCCATCGCGCAGGAATTAAACGACAAAGTGGGAGAAGGACGAGCTTGCTGGAGTTTAGGGAATGCATACTCGGCTACTAATGCCCACGAGAAGGCCCTTCAGTATGCCAACAGACACTTAGACATATCCAAAGAGGTATGAAATTTATTTATTTGCTGAGAGTTTCTTTATCCAATTAATATGCATATTCTTATTACTTTATTTAATTTTTTTTCTTCTAGTGGGCACAGGCCAACTTAAGAAGTAAATCACTTGCATCCCAGAATTAAAAAAAGAACCTAAAGGCTCATGCCTAACTCAGATGCACTTAATTGTTTGCAAGTGGTTGATTTAAACACTAGGCACCTATGCAAATGAACATCTTTGCATGGCAAATCCTGCCCTGACGTACCTCACATGCACCTCCAGATTGGGGACAAAACAGGCCAGGCAGCGGCACAGATGAACCTCACAGACATTAGGAAGGTTTTGGGGCTTCCTCCCACAACCAATGACACGTCAGAGTCGGCAGACGATGCCAAGTCGCGCACGCGTAGGAAGTCCATGGAGAATATGGACCTCCTGAAGGTAGTTCCGCCCTCGCACTTGTTGCTTCCTCCCCTTCCCGCATGGCATGGGATCTTGGTTGTGGTTTCAGTTCGTATTTTGCCCTTTTATAGAGATTTACGTAAATATACATATACAATCAGTGATTCTGAACAATTGCTGGTTTTTGCATGTATTAATAGTCGGGATGTTCAAATTTAAAAGTTTTAAAGCACAAAATTTATATATTTTTAAATTGTTTGTTGACATTGGCATTACTATAGTTTGAAGTTGCATGCAATTTTCTGTTGGTCTGATCTTGAAAAATGTTTTTCATGTAAGATTAAGATTTTACTTTCAATATCGTAGGGTTTGAATGATCAGGTGAAGCAACTTTAGATGTAGGAATTACAACCATTTTTGTCAGAAAACCTTATTTTATCTTCATTTGGTAGGACTGTAAGGGAAAGTTGTTAGCAAAAGTTGAATATATTTTTATCTTTTTTAAATTGCTTTTTGGTAAGTGTATACATCATTATGAAAGCCACTGAATCTATGAACAGCTGTTGTTATTGACTTTAGACAGAATACTATTTGTAACTGTTTTGTCCATTGGACTCTAAAGAGTATATAGTACATGCTTAGACAGTAGAATGTTTTATGTAATTCCAGTCGTAGAAATTAGGCTATATGTTTTGCAGAGCAGTAATTTTTCTTTGCGTCCATAAAATTTCCTGATAATAGGAATCAGTGTTTTGTTACATGAAAATGTATTTATTTTGATTTGCAAAGTACATAAGACATCTGCTTTTTTTGTGTAGGCTCACACTGCTATCTGAATCTCCTTTTTAAGTAATTCCTTCTTCCTTCTGTCTTCCCTTCCCATAATTTCTCTTTCTCTCTTTCTCTTTCCCTCTCCCTCTTCCTCTCCCTTGCCATTCCTTCCTTTCTTATTGCTGCCCTGCCTCTCTCCCTCCCACCCTCACCCCCATTTAGTTTCTCTTGTTTTTTCTCTTTTTCACCTCCTCCCTCTCCAGCTCCCTCTCCCTGACTCCCCAATCACACCCTCACCCTCACCTTTACCCTTACTCTTACCGTCAGCCTCACTCTCACCTTTGCTCTCTCTTGTGCCTTCATCTTCACCTACTTCTCTTTCCCTCTACTACTCCTCTTACTTTCCTTTTTTCTCAGCTCCTGCCTCTTCATAGCCATTCATATGATTTTAAGCACAGCTGTCTCTTATTCTGATTAGCTTTGGAAATGCCTAAAGATGGGGTTGAAAAGCTACTGCTCTGCCACGCTTGGCCCAGACTTGTTCCGGGGCAACTTCTTGGCCCGGCGACTTGTGTCAGTGTAAACTAGTTCTGGCGAGCACTGCCCTCCAGTCCTAGCTCTTAAGAGGAGTCCTTGGGGGCATTTCAGATGACGCCGGATGCCAAAGGCGTCCTTCGGAAATACCAGAGCGAAGACGCCGGTATTGGCTCCCTGTCCTCAGATGACTCTCACCCTGTTAATGGTCCTTCCTACACAGCTAGTCCCCATGCTGATAAAAATGTGCGTGTCCATCCGTAGTAGGTAACTCCTTAGTCCAAAGAATGACACAGGTGTTTGTCCCAGCACTCACTCACTCACTCTGTCAATAGAGTTATGTCCCTGTGAAATATTCCTAGTTGTATGTGAGAGTTTTGTGTGGTGTCCTTTCTCTCACCCTCTCCCTTAGATACCGAGTGTCATCCTAGCTTATCCTGTGTGACAAATTGTTTTTGCTTAACCCCTAAGGGATGGAATACAGCCACTGACGTTTTCAGGTATGTGTGCACATAGGATGAAAATGTCAAAGTTGTCCCACAAGAATTTCCACATTTTTCTATATTATAAATATCCAAAGTAGAAAGAGCTGAACTAAAATGATTGTGTATTGAAGTAGACTTTTTTTCCCCCCATCCTGTGTGCACACAAAGCTGTGAACTTAGCTCTCCATTAGGGATAAAATCCCAAATGTGAGATGATGTGTGTAAAGTTTCCTTGTGTGATTACCAGCATGAAAGAGATGAATTAATAACCTTTTTATGTGTGAGAAAATTTAATGAATGTCATTTATTCACAGAAACTAAATGGAGAATATTGATAATTTACTCATTACTGTGTTCTATATAATTGTTGTTTTTTGAAGTAGGTTTTGGTTTATATCAAACTCAGGGGATTTGTTGCTGATCCAACACCACTTGTTTGTTCCTGCTTGTGTGCATGAGGAGGAAGAGGCTTTGCAAGATTGGTTTCATTTGGGCAGGGATTTCTTTATTTTATTCAAGTTCTTATAATTATTTGTTATATTTTTGACATTGTTGTTACTATTATCATTATTATTGTTGTTTTTATTATTATTATTGTTATTATCATCATCATTGCCATAGTTGTCACCATCGTCAGTGTCGGTCATTACTAGTAACCTACTATTGTTGTAGCTCTTGCTATTTTTATGCTTTTTATTTTTTATGATAATTATTGATATTGTTCTTGCTGTTCTTGATAGTCTAATTAACAAGATTATTATTATTGCTGGTCATGTTGGTATAATTATCGTTAATATTGTTACTATTTTTATTACTGTTATAATGATTATTATTGATGGGGGGGGAGAATAATATATATATATATATATATATATATATATATATATATATATATATATATATATATATATATACTATGAACTTTCCATCAGGTTTTACACAAAAGGGGAAAGAAAAGTGACTTCTTTCTTTATTGCAAAGAGCTTATACATTTTAATGATTTGACCATTTTTTATGATAATTACTTTATGTATCAATTAAATAATTATTGAGTTTTGAGTGGAAGGTCAATGTAGAGCATTCTTTTCTATAGTCTTGATCGTTAGCACTTACAAACTTTCATTTGACTCTGAGATGTTCCTATTGCATTCTCAACATTTTTGTCCCCTGCCACTCTTTTGGGCTTGGAGTTTGGCCCTGGCCTCCGTCCTGAACTTGCTCCCGAAGTTTTGGTTTAGGAGTAGAAGCTTGTATGAAGCCCGCATCTCCGGAACCTAATAGTTCCCTAGGTCGAGTGTGGTCAGCTTGGGTTGTCATGTTGGCATGATTGTAAAGAAGCGAAACGGTGCCTTGGCTGTGCTTGTAGTCCGATTGCTCAATAGATTAATTGCTAATGCATAAAGAATTGCTTTTACGTTTGTTTTTTCCAGTATTAGAAAAAAATGCATGAGAATCATGAGTATTATTGTAGTTGAAAAAAATACAAAATGACTTCAATGTTCTAAATAGATATGTGTACCTTGAGGTTTATGCAAATGTAGACTTGGACAAGCTGAAAAGGTATGAAATTGTGATATTTACTTGTTTGAATGAGAGAAAGCAAGGAAGGAAGGGAAAAGAGAAAGTAGAGAATGGGAGAAAAGAATGAGTGAGTGACTTTTTATATTCTGAGTGAGTGTAATAGTGACTGTAGTAATTAAGTGCAATGAATGTCTTTCAGGGTGTTTTTAACTAATGGAGCTTTATATTAACAGACGTCAGTGAATGAGGAGTCGAGCATGGATGAAGACAGTTTCTTTGAGCTCCTCTCCAGGTTCCAGAGCAAGCGCATGGACGACCAGAGGTGCACGCTCTCCATCGACAGCAACAAGGAGAACCAGCCGGAGCAAGTGCAGCAGCCGGTTGTGCCCCGGAGGGAGGGTGGGTCGGTGTCGTCCACGGGCTCCACCAATGGCACAACAACCCCCTCCGATAGTGGTGCAAGTGAGTCCTTCCTCTGCACTTCACCTTGTGGGAGAGATATAGGTGTTGGCTTACCTTTGTTGTCTTTGCTGTGGCTTTTGTCTCTGCTTTGTCTGTCTTCTGTGTTTATCACTGTCAGTTATTGGATCTGTGTTTGACATTGTCATTTATTGGATCTGTTTTTGACATTGTCATTTATTGGATCTGTGTTTGACATTGTCATTTATTGGATCTGTGTTTGACATTGTCATTTATTGGATCTGTGTTTGACATTGTCATTTATTGGATCTGTGTTTGACATTGTCATTTATTGGATCTGTGTTTGACATTGTCATTTATTGGATCTGTGTTTGACATTGTCATTTATTGGATCTGTGTTTGACATTGTCATTTATTGGATCTGTGTTTGACATTGTCATTTATTGGATCTGTGTTTGACATTGTCATTTATTGGATCTGTGTTTGACATTGTCATTTATTGGATCTGTGTTTGACATTGTCATTTATTGGATCTGTGTTTGACATTGTCATTTATTGGATCTGTGTTTGACATTGTCATTTATTGGATCTGTGTTTGACATTGTCATTTATTGGATCTGTGTTTGACATTGTCATTTATTGGATCTGTGTTTGACATTGTCATTTATTGGATCTGTGTTTGACATTGTCATTTATTGGATCTGTGTTTGACATTGTCATTTATTGGATCTGTGTTTGACATTGTCATTTATTGGATCTGTGTTTGACATTGTCATTTATTGGATCTGTGTTTGACATTGTCATTTATTGGATCTGTGTTTGACATTGTCATTTATTGGATCTGTGTTTGACATTGTCATTTATTGGATCTGTGTTTGACATTGTCATTTATTGGATCTGTGTTTGACATTGTCATTTATTGGATCTGTGTTTGACATTGTCATTTATTGGATCTGTGTTTGACATTGTCATTTATTGGATCTGTGTTTGACATTGTCATTTATTGGATCTGTGTTTGACATTGTCATTTATTGGATCTGTGTTTGACATTGTCATTTATTGGATCTGTGTTTGACATTGTCATTTATTGGATCTGTGTTTGACATTGTCATTTATTGGATCTGTGTTTGACATTGTCATTTATTGGATCTGTGTTTGACATTGTCATTTATTGGTTTGACATTGTCATTTATTGGATCTGTTTTTGACACTGTTGTAAGTAAAACATTCACCCCAGTACTGGGATCCTCTTGCCTTTCCACAGCCTAGCTTATTTTTGGGGTTTTGGCATAAAGAAAAAAAGAAAATAATAACAAAAATTATATGTATTTGTATATAATTCAGTGTATATATAGTCAGGCACATATTATATAAACACACAAAGTATTGTAGAGGTTGTGATGCAGGGCAGAAAGTGTTGTGTAGTGAGAGGAGAGGGAAGTGCATGGTGGCTGTGGCAGTTGGAGGAGGTAGGAGGCACACATGTATGGATGCACATGGACAGGGTACACTTAGTGGAAATGGCTGAGGGTTTATTTGCCTTAAGCTCTGATTCTGAATAATGAATGAGGAGATTAGTTTAATTAGATATAGTAATGCCTTTTACTGTCAAACACACATGCCCAGACATGCTCTGGCATCTATAGGTTGAATTTATTTAGCTTTAGGAGAGGAGATAGAAAGTAGAATTAAACTTCTGTCCATTTACCTAGTGATTTTATGGGGTTGAGTTGTTTCCATACTTCATGGATATTTTTAGTATCAACTTCCTGTTGAAGGAGTTGATACAAATTTTACCATGAGAGCTTTCAGACATTAAGCCAAGAAGGGTCATTAATTTAATTATTGAGGCAGCTATTAATTGATGTAGATAATGTGACTTGCTACAGTAAAGGATAATTTCAGAAGAGAACTTTTCTTGTTTGGAGCTCTTGATATGTTCTATGTTATTATCCAATATCTTGTAAGAAAGAGGGTTGCATTCAGGAATATTGGGACTTGTGGCAGTTGCAGTTAATCTTAAGGGAATGTATTACCGTTGAGGGTATCCTGATGAAATTTATAAGAACATTTACATTTATTTTTCTTGAACAGTTGAAAAATATCCAATCTGTTTATCAGGACAAGAAAGGTGCCTCTAATATTAATGTATTAGCCTCTGATTTCTGAGATACTTTGAGAGGCCATTGTGTCATGTGTTGTCACTGGCACAGAAAATGTTTTTTACCCCTGGCTTTTGACTTTCATGTCTTGACTTGTGGGTGTCACACGCTGTATTAATAAATCTTCAGCATGCGGTTTCCAGTTCTTTGGCATGTGAGCAGTATTTTCTAATAGTTTATATCCTTCTGAAGAAATTCTTTAGATGAATAGAGTAATGGGTTTTGGTCTCACTCTTTCTCCCCAAATTCATTTTCTTCTCCATGATTAGGGTAACTTACCGTTAAGTTGGAGTGAAGTTTGTAGCAAAGTTATTTCCAGTTCAGTTTACTGCTGTTTATAAGTTTTTCTTCTTAGATGTTAAAGTCTCTTCCTCACAATTTCATTCTAACTGTTTTAAGCTGATCTCTAGAAGTACACAGTAACTTACGATGTAGAATCTAGAATTTTTTGCAAGTTTTAAAAGTAATGATGTTCTTACTTACATCACTTCACCTCCAAGGAGTGGAGCTTCCGCCTCCGAATCGTGGTAAGCAAAGAGAGAGAAAAAAATGTAAAGTAGAGATCTGTGCTGTTCCTATTTCATGTAGTTCTTGTAGTACTGTAAAAAAAAAATGAATTAGTAGATTTCAAACATGCTTATTAATTACAGCTGCTTGAAACTTTCTCAGCTCTTGTCCTAATACATGATGTTGAGTTTGCTCCTAGCTTGCCTTTCACAAAAGAGAGCTGCCTCTGTGTTGGTTCCTCATGCTCATTAATCTTCTAGATAACTGCGGTGTGTTGGAAGAGTTAATGGAGAGCATTGCGGGAATGCAGAGCCGGCGTATGGATGAGCAGAGAGCTTCGTTACCTCAGCTCCCTGGCTTGAACAACCAGCATGCCATTCTGCAGCGCCTGTCCGTTGCGGCCAGTGATTCCACCCCATTGCCTGACGACAACTTCTTTGACATGCTGATGAGATGTCAGGTGAGGGAGTCTCTGAGCATTGGAATTGACATTTCATTTATGCAGACACCACTCTTCTTCAGGTGTTTTATTATTGAGAGCAATAAAGAAAGCACATGGCTCAAAAGTTTCAGTGTGATAGGAGTATGTGAGTGAGTTTGTGAATGTATGAGAGAGAGTGAGAGTGTACAGAGTATCTTAAATATTTTGTGGAAATACTACCTGTTTTAATGTTACTCAAATCTGCTAAAGAAGTTTAAAGAGCATTATACAGGGAAGAGTAGACCTGCCTGCTTATTTTGTTTTATTGATTTTTATTTATTTATGCATCATCATCATCAATCACCTTCATTCCCCAGTGAACCTGTTTTACATTTCATGCTTAAAACTCCAGCGCAAGTGAAAGGGATCAGAACAGCAGGACTGCACTGGTAAGAGAGGTAAAGGAAGAGCCAGAACTGTACCCTCTCCTGCTGCAGTAGTCCACCAAAGAGGCCCAAGAACCTCGTTTGATGCCCTCCCTTTATAGATATCGACAGTGTCTCTAACCTTGACCAACAGCTGCTCTGCAAAGCGTATTATCTCACGTCTTAAGAGGTCTTCTCATTGACTGATCCCTCCCTTCCCTTTCAGCAGAAAACCCCTTCAGTTTGACCCCAGTACCTTAAGTCCTAAAAGGCTGCGACTTCAACTCACCTCTAAAATAAGGATGACTTTTCTCATGCTTTTGTGTGTGGTTTTTGGCTTTTAGTTTGGAAAAGATGAAATGTCATTTGCTTCTGTCATGTAAAGTTAAACTCTTGCATACAGAGTACACGTAACTGTGCAGGGTCCATTAGGAAGGTCTTTTTTAATTCTTCATTTTGCTTTATAAGAATAGTGAGCAGTGATGAAGGGAGGCCAAGAATGTGTTTATTTGTTATTTATTGACATTATTTGCAGTAAGCAAGACTAGAAAAATTAATGGTTGGTTGATACACACATGATATTGCAGAAGCTGCCCATGAAAAGTTAAAAGAAAAGTTAGTGTTTCCAGTCAACATTAAGTGCATATATAGATGACATGAGTGAAGACAGATTTATGTTAGAGGAGAGTTAATTGTACATCTAACCTGTACAACATCAGTAAGGAGATTGCTTTCCAGATCTTTTAGGATATTTCAGCTAGTGATTTATGTTTGAAAAAGTTGGCGTCATAATTCCATTGCCAATAAAGTTTCAGAAAACAGTGCATTGTGAGGCATTCAGTGATTTTGCTGTTACTTGTTTGTACATCATAGAGGGAATGGAAAGGTCTAGCTCCAGTCACCTCCTTACCCATAACTCTTTTCAGGTCTGCAATTGCAGTCTGTTGTTTATTTTCCACAGCATTTGCACGTTTGCAGAGGGAGTATGTATAAGGGGCACTGATATTCCATTCCTTAGGTTTCCTGACTTGCCTTGAACCCTTGAGAGTTGTTGGAAATAACATCTTTTAATGAGAGAAGAGTGTATATTAAGTTGTCCTTAATCTCAGTTTCCCATGAATTTGCTAACTCTATTTTGAAATGTATTATTGTTGGGAGTGACATTGCTGATGATTGGAAATTTCAGTGGCACTGAAAGCTAGATCTGATACTTATCTCTAATCCAGTACATTGAATAAGGCTTCATTTTGCTCTTGTAGTAATTGGAAATTGTATTTACTTACATGTGCTGGAAGGAGTGTGAGATATACATTTATTTGGCAGTCTGGTTATTTATCTCCAAGAAAAAGAAAAGAAATTATACAGACTTTTCAGTTTTGGAGTGTTAATGAACTTAGAATCCCATCCATGAAGACCCTGTTTGAGATGATGACAGACAGCGACAGTCAAAACACAGACCTCAATGCCACTAAAAGCTCTCATCCCACAGAATAAGAGCATGGTCTCCTCTCTCCCCCAGGGCTCGCGCATCGAGGACCAGCGTAGCTCCCTTCCAAATGAGGGTCATCTCACCCACTCAGCCCCCACTGTGCCTGACGATGACTTCTTCTCCCTCATCATGCGGTTCCAGTCAGGCCGGTTGGAGGATCAGCGGTCCACGATGCCCCTGGAGGCCACACGCAACAGCACACACCCAACGGCAGATGAGGAGGAGGCCCCAGCCAATGGCCAGAGCACAGGGGCCAAGGATGGCCTAGTCAGCAGACTGGTCAAAGGCAGAAAGTGAGAGGAGCTTGTAGATTATGGGAATACAGTATTTTTTAGGTATTTTTGACAATGTGTATGAATTCAGAAGGCGTATTTGAGCACATGATTTCTCCCCGAGGTGTGCTTGGGTCAGTCATATTTACCTGACGTATTTATGTGTAATGTTAAATACTTATGAAGAGTTGAATTCTATTATATCAAGGATAAATGTAGAATAAATGAATCTGGTAAAGTATAATTATCATCATGTTTACATGGAAAGACTGATGATTATTAAATGTAAGATAAGAGTGTTATCTAACGTAGATGAAGATTAAAGTTTTCCAAAACCCACACTGTTATTATTGAAGATGATAAAACACACACACACACACACACACTCTCTCTCTCTCTCTCTCTCTCTCTCTCTCTCTCTCTCTCTCTCTCTCTCTCTCTCTCTCTCTCTCTCTCTCTCTCTCTTTCTCTCTCTCTTTCTCTCTCTCTTTCTCTCTCTTTCTCTCTCTCTCAAACACTCACATTTACTCACATTCACATTTACCAAATGGTCCAAATGAAATGCCAACAAGAATGCCTATCTGTACATCTGTCCATTTTATTTAGACAGAGGTTTCATGAATATTGAATTTTGATGCTATTTGGTGCAGGAGTATAATGCCAAGGAGGAGAAGAAGGCCCGAGGGCTCACAATGCAGTCGTATCCCCTGAAAGACCTGTGACAATCCCATAGAGTGTAAGATTTTAAAAGCATTTTTTCTGTTGTTGCGTTCCAGATGTTACTTCAGATAAGTTGGTTTTACCCCTTGCTGAATGTAGAATGTTATTATTATTATTATTATTACTATTATTATCATCTTTTTTTACAGTGGAACAAAAGGGATGCTATTATCAAAAAGGAGAATTGGCCTTTGTTATATATTTTTGTAATGGTTTATATTAATTCTGTATAAGATTTTCCAGGTTTTGTATTTCATCCTGGTGTTCATGAATGAAGTCACCAAAACAGTGATTGAAAATAGATATTAGCCAGTAATTCTTGGTAGGCAAAAAGAGTAGTATTATCTCTCTCTCTCTCTCTCTCTCTCTCTCTCTCTCTCTCTCTCTCTCTCTCTCTCTCTCTCTCTCTCTCTCTCTCTCTCTCTCTCTCTCTCTCACCTTTCCTCCCTCATTTCTTAATAATGTATATGTATTTATATGCATCTGTGTGTGCATGTATGTATATATACATTTTGATTATTGTTTTTTCAAAGCTGCCTTCTTCCAACTAAGCCCAGAATATTTCCCCGCTCACCATCCAAGCTTTAAACCTTAAACAAGGAGGGTTCGCAGTCTCTTCAAAGCCAAGTGTATCCGCCGCGTGCAGCAGAAGGTTCGCTTTCATATGTAGCATATCATACCTCTGTGTATCCTCGGTGTCTTTGAGCATCTCTCTGTGCGCACGTGTGTGACCTTCAGTCGTGCTGTGACCGACAACATACTTTTAATGTCTTTTGTCACTAGCCTCGTTATTTGTTTACTTATTTATCATCATTATTATTATTGTTATTGTTATTATATTTTTTATTTATTTATTTTTTTTTATAAGATTTGGGATGATCATCATTTCTATGTGTAATGATGTATATCATTATTATTGTTATTATTCCTATAGCTATGGCCTTTATTGGTTTTATAATGATGAGAATTGTAAGGTTGTAATAATAATAAGAATAATAGTAATAATTATTGTTTTTTTCATATTTATTATTATCATCATCCTCAGAAGCAGCAGCATTATTATTATTGTTTTAACTTTTTTTTTTTTTTTTTAATGAAGATTATTGCTGTTCTCATTGGCATAACATTCTAATCCTTGTTTTTAATGCAGTTTTGACTATCTATTATTCACTATGGTCTTGAAATACCAGTATGTAGGTACACCTTTGTTAATTTCTTGTGGTTACAAGTCTTTCCTTAAGCCAGCAAAAGTACTGACATGAACATTGTAAATAAAGGATCACACCTTCCCAAAAATACTTAGAGGAACCTGTTATGAACATTGTACACATGCAGTTCTTTAGTTTAGTGTCCAAGAAGTGGAGTATGATATTGCTTGAGGTTGAAATGTGCTGTTATTTTGATAAACCTAAGAGGGAGTCATGCACATGTGCACCTATATACATTCATGTACATATAGATACAGACACATTCATGTACAAACATAATGTGCACACACACATAATACACATGCACATACAAAACAGCAGCATTTCCACAAGTCTCCTTTCGATATGTGCGTGTTAAAGACCTCAAAATTCTTATGAAATGTTTTCATTTAACTCCAGGGATCGAATAACAAGTTGAGCTCATTGTTGGCCGTGGAGTTTGGAATTACCTTTGAGCAAGCAATTTAGGTTACATGGGAATTAAGGCAATCTTCTCTGAAGCATTGAGGAAAAAATGGTATTGTTGGCTACGTTACTTTGATGAGAATCAGACCCAGTTAGTGAATGGAGGATATACTGAATTATATATATTAAATTATGAACTTTTCAATAAATTTTGAAGTTATTGATGGGACAGTTATTGACAGTTTATGTACAGTTATTTACAGTTTATTTTTGTATAGAGATTATAACCTTCAACGACATTATTGCCATTTTCACAATTGTTCTTGTTCATTTCCTGTCTGAACTTGAAACAATTGAAATAAATCAGTTTAAAGCAAATGTGAACTTGCAGTTTTAACTTTTGAAATCTTGGCATTCATATAAAGATAAAGATTTGTAGAATTGTCATCTTTTCAGTTATATCTGAAATTTGTATGAAATACAACTCCATGTTTTGTACATTAAATTTGTATGATCTTTACACTTAATGATAAAAGATACATAAATCAGGTGTAAAAATATATTTAATTTTCTTAGTACAAACTTCTGCACATTAAGTAAGATTAAGAGTTTGCTCAAATGATAAAGATCTAGCTAATCGAAGGTGCCAATTTTTAAATATATTTTCTTTTTTTCCCCGAAGTTATTGATTGTGGTTTTGTAGTATTCATGTCAATATTTCTATGTTCATATTTTATTGGAAAGAAAAGTTCAGATGATAAAATTACAGATTATTTTCATTATGCAAGAATGATTTTCAATCTTAAGTATTCAAAGAGCAGCCCATAGAAAGGAAAGGGAACTGCACTGGCTAAAAATTCTTACAAAATTATGATACCAATAGTCCTATTACTCTGATTACTTTTGTATCCTTTGTAAAGTGCTTAAATCATGTTCAGGTACTATCTTCAGTCTTGCTTCCTGCTCAGTCTGAATCCTTTGGGGCAGAGAGCTATTCTGTGTCGCTGGTAGGCTTTCATTTTTTATAAGGTAGTCATAGCCACAGTGTGCTCTGACAATCAGTTATACAGCATAATAAGGGTCAGTAGACAGAGTTTCATTTACATAGAAATACCCACATATATGTATATATTTATATATGGATATGTGTGTGTGTTCATGTAAAAAAAATTGTGCCTCCTTCATTTAGATAAATATAGGTGTCATTTCTGCATTCTTCAGTTGTAATTATTAATGTCAAGATATAAGATTTGCTATTCTGTATAAATTTACAAATTACCCAGAAAATAAAAGAACAATTTTTATTGTAGTTTGGTTCAGCGTACCTGATGTCCAGCACACTACTTAACGAGTAACAAGAAGTCTTATCATTGGCATGTGTGTGCCCTTCTAGTGTATGTCATTCTAGTGAATTTGAAGTTCCTTTAAAGCACAGACATGGCTTGCAGTGCTGAGATGTGCCTCTAAGGGCTTCGCTGGACACTTTTGGTGGGTCATTTGTCTTGCAGTTGCTTGTTTCTGAGTAACTCAGACTGAATGGAAACTGTTGAAAAAGGATTTTTTTTATACAAGGATATGAATAGTTTTAAGACTATTGTTTGTTAATGATAGTTTGGGATTGTATGTGCTTAGTTTGAAGATCAACAATATTAACTCTAGAAAGTGTTGGGGAAAAAGTGGTTACTGTTATAGAGTGAAATATCTAACTTAATTATTGCCATTCTAAAAAAGGTATGGAGAATCTCATTGTTCAGTCATCAGAACCAGTGCATTCATTATTCTGAGAAAAGTCCCATTTTCCAGATATATGAAAAATAAATCTGAATTACTTTGTAAAATGTATGTTACACCAATACACAGCCATATGTGTATAGAAAAATATTCAAAAAGGATTACTGATTATGCTCATTCATACTCTTGTTGAAATGATGACATGAATGTCATGATAAAGATAAAGTCAATATTGATTGATTCTTCAGTATTCATTTGATATAGAGATGTGCAGGTATTTCTTGGCTTTTCTGGTTTTCAAATATGGCTGTGTATGGACTTGTTATGTTGCTGTTGCAATTTGGGATAGTATGCTGAACTTTTGGCCCATGAGGCTTTGAGTGAAATGTGGCAGGTTTTTGTTCTCTCTCTCTCTCTCTCTCTCTCTCTCTCTCTCTCTCTCTCTCTCTCTCTCTCTCTCTCTCTCTCTCTCTCTCTCTCTCTCTCTCTATCTCTCTCTCCCTCTCTCTCTCTCTCTCTCTCTCTCTCTCTCTCTCTCTCTCTCTCTCTCTCTCTCTCTCTCTCTCTCTCTCTCTCTCTCTCTCTCTCTCTCTCTCTCTCTCCCTCCCTCTCTCCCTCTCTCCCTCTCTCCCTCTCTCCCTCCCTCCCTCCCTCTTTGTTTTCTCCTCATTTTTTCTTTTCCCCTCTCTTTCCTCTCCTCTCTCTTTTCTTTCTCCCTCTCTCACTGTTTTCTCCTCATTTTTTCTTTTCTCCTCTCTTTCTTCTCCTCTCTCCTCTCTCTTTTCTCTCTCTTTCTTCTCTGTCTTCTCCCTTCTCCCTTTTCTCTCTCTTTCTTCTCTGTCTTCTCCCTTCTCCCTTTTATTCTCTCCCCTCTCTCTTCCTTTTTTTAACATTGCTCAACTTGTGTCAGAGTCATATCAGACATATTTTTCAGCTAAATGAAAGAAATTGTGAATTCATCCAGCCAGTTTGGAGAAATAGGTAAACGTCATAGAATAAAAGAATGAATTTCCAACAAAATAATGGGAAAGAGCTAAAACTCAGTCACAGAATTAGTGGCTTATGATTATCATTATTTATTATTATTATTTTTCTTATTATTATTACTATTATTTTTATTATTATTATTACATATTATTATTATTATTATTATTTATTATTAATATATATATATTTTTTATATAATAGCCTGTCAAATGAACATAATACTTGCATAAATATTTCACATACGGTCATTTTTTTGTGTGTAAATAAACACTTGAGGTACCAATTCCTTGATATACAAACATCAATGTTCATAAACTCTAAAAGGTATCTTTACTCTAATGTGCTGCATAATCTGAAAGAGTGTAAGATGTTATTTGTCTACTGCTTGCTACCACCCTATGAAGTGTCAGGTAACATAGTCTACTGTTTCAGTTTACACATCATTATGAAGATACATTTGGGAGATAGTGTACATGCATCACTTTATTCCCTTCTGTAATACTCCTTGTGTTGTGCCTATTTTGTAAATGCTTTTTATGAACAAAAATGTGTCAAATAATGTTAATAATTCCGGAAAGAAATCTCAACTGTGCCAGATGTCTAATGTATATTAAGCAGTGTTATGGTAATGATTTGTATACAAACATAAGACGTAATCGTTTGTTAGACCTTCCTTATGTCCTTGGTCTTCAATCACATAGGGGGACTTTTATCTTTACTCTGTACACACTCAATTCTTTCTAATACATTTAATGTTAATACAGTATTGTTAATTAAGAAATCCAGCCAGGGTAATTCCACATGTGCTAGTATATTCTTTTTTTTCAATGATGTACAACTTCATTTTACACAACTGAATGTAGTAGATTGTGTATATTATTACGTATATCATTATTAGAATATTTTTGTAAGATAAAGTATATAAAATGTGATTAACTGCAATTCTTTTTCTGAGATATACTTCTGGTTCTGTCTCAGGTGGGGGGGGGGAGCCATTTTTTATTATTACTGTGATATAAGGAATGGACAAAACCTGAACACAGATTCGAACGAAAGCGTAATTTGGCCATAGAGGAGAAACGTGGCATCAGAATAGTAGTTCAAATGATCAGTAAATCCCTCAAGACTTCATATATTTAGTTCTAATACAAGATGTTACGTCTCATTCAGGAAACTGCTAAAATCTCAGCTCCCTTCCAAATGCTTTTCATTGTCTTCCACAAGTACATCATCTTTACATCTGCATTATTTTCTTTTTCTTTATTGTCAGTTGTGAATGTATGTCATTCGCATGCAAGTAAATAAAGAGAAGAAATTCCAATAGAGTAAATTTTGGTTATTTAAATGGAAGAAATGATATCTGTTTTCTGTGCTTCCAGTTATATTTCTTTATATACAGAGTAAATGGTCACTACAAGTTCCTGTCATGTGTACATATTAGTTTGTACTTTATGGGGTGTATGTTATGTGTGGAACATACAGTTTTTTCATCACTAAATTTAAAGTGTATTCAGTATGAGTTGATGAAAGACCATCCTCTGTCCAGCAACTGATATTGAGTAAAAGAAAAAAAGTCTCTGAATATAGGATGTAATGTAACTGTATTACCTTTCTTCAGTACACATTATTTCTCCACAAAAGAAATAAAAAGAGTTCCTAAAAGTTTCCATTTAGTGATTTTTCTTTGGAGAAATGACAGCCATAATATGTATTCATTGGCAACTACTTGTAGTTGCATTTTGTACCTTATAAGAACACATCCTGTAGTGCATAATTTTCTGTTCACTCATTGTCATCCAGCTTCGTCTCTAAACCAACATCACCCAACAATGTTCATTGCTCCTGATTGCAGACAACAGTTTAAGAATGTGCACATAAGCTTCTTTAGTCTTTCGAGGCAGTGTGATATATTGGCACAGAGCCAAGAGCCCTGTCTTCAACCACCTCAGCAAGGGCCAACATTTAGCCGTCCTGTTCCAGGGAGACTAGAGTTTGCCAGTAATTTCCAAGCTTAAGTATTTTTTGAAGAATTAGGGGACAAACCTGAAACCTGGCTGCTCCTGCAGTTAACTCTTGTATAGTTGTTTTTATAAAACTTACAAAATGGCAGTGGATGGTTGAGCTTCATATTTCTTTGAAGTGTTGGCTCCATAATTCTCAGCAAGAGATTAGCATATCAGAACTTTTTACTGAGTGCAACAATCAGTAAATGTAATATAATAACTAAGTTTTGATAGAAATTGCCCTCTTGGTTACTGTAATCAGTCCAATTGATTAGTTAAGGATTTCCGCCATGCCAACAGCTAATTACAGCATTGAGCATACTTGCACTAGCCATGCAAGTTAGTTCTATTCATTCAGCCAGATCAAGCAGATAAGTTGCACACAAAAATCCAGTTGAGGAAAAGTTGCACTGGAATTACTGCTCCTGTTGATGTTACTGTAGATATGCAGATCCCATGTCCTTACCTTGCCCTCTACATACTCCTCTGGCACTATGTGAGACTTTGAGAGATTCCAAGAACCACTAATGATTCTTTGTAATGTCTAGCAAAGTTTGATTTCATCTTTCATGTATATGGCAAAGTTAGGCAAGCTCTGTAATTTGTAATATCAGTTTTATCCATACTGGTTGGCTTTTATTCACCCAGCTTCCTTTTGTGTATATTTCTTCATGATTCTATAAGAAAATGATTTATAGCATGTGAAACATTTCATAGGATATAATGCTATAGTATTTACTTTTGCAGTCAGTGTATACTACAAAATAAATTCATCAATCCAGTGAGTATTTCCTAACCTTGAAATTAATATTGCAAGCCTCAAGTAAAGCAGAAGGTTTGTTACAGTACTAGTGAATTAAAAACATCTGTGTATTACAAAACAACATCAAGGGTTAATACCTCCTATTTTCTAAAAAGGAAGGCAGTTGAAAGCTAAGTTAGGCTTTAACTTGAAATTTCAAGAACAGTGCTGAAACTAGCCGGTATGCATATACAATATCACCGAGTGTGGGTGGGTGGGTGGCCGGGTGTGTGCATGTGCATGCACACAAGGAGGAGAGAGAGAAAATGAGAAAGAGAGAGGGAGAGATACAGAAGAAAAGAAAGAGACATACTGAGGCAGAGACAAAAAGAGAAAGAGACTGAAACAGACAGAAAGAGAAAGAAAAACAGATACAGAAAGAGAGTACCCCCAATCTCATGCCTGTTGTTGTGGGGAACTTAGAAGATGAAGACTGGGGCCCAATGCTTGGGATCAGATCAGCCCTGCCTTGGGCACAGTATTCCCGTTTTAGTTGTCTAGCCCTTATCCCTCAAGGGGACCCTGAGGGATGGATTGTTTCTCTCCCCAACATACTCCAGGCTTACCTTGGCGAATAATGAAGATTTTACCCTTATTAGGGGCAATGAGGCTTTTTCGTGATCCCTCCCACAGCTCCCAACACTGAGAATACTCTTCTCTTCCAACATTGTCTCCAAAAACAAAAAGGCAAAGTCTCTTTCCGTAGCCAAACCAATCATTCCCATCTCGTCACAGTAATATCTGAAAACCAAGCCATAGCACTATCAGCTCTAACTGATCTCTCTGGTAACCCCATTCCGGCAGAACCTCATCCAACCCTCAATGCTTGCACCAGAACGGTCTATTATCTCCCCAGCAAACTGCCCTATCTATAACAAAGATTGGTCAGATTGTGGAGAAGACTAACTCACCTGCCTCACGGACTATGATGCAATATTAGTACAGTCTAGCTGGTGCTTTGATAGAGCCGACTGGCATACTTTCACTTCACCCTCTGCTGTTCCTACCCCTCGATCCTCCTCTTCCATTTCAGATATGATGCAATGTTTCACGACTGCAGTCCTTAGAGCTGTCTATACAGCCATTCCTCGAACCTTAAGACCTTATAACCCCAAATGTGTTCCATGGTGGAATTCCGATTGCACCAAACCGCTTCACTTAAAACGTGCAGCCTGGAACAGTTACCGCTACAAACGAGGCACCCCTAATCAACCATCAGCCCTTATCTCCTTTAAAAGAGCATCCGCCTGTCTACAATCCATAACAGTAAAGCAAATAGCTGGTGAAATTATGTTTCCTCATTTACATTTACATCTATCTTAACTGTTTGGGCAACCCCCCCCATCCAGCCCCGTCCTCCACATTCGAGATACCTTCATCTCTGATCCTCTCCAAGTCGCTAATGAACTGGGTGACTATTTCAGCCAGGTCAGTAGTGTTTCTCACCTTTCTCCACACTTCTATTAAGACCATCTGGGAATGCACCCCCATTATCTTCACCCTATCCTCTGCTGAGTCCTATAACGCTCCTTTTTCTTCCTGAACTCAATGCTACCTTACAGTCGTGCCGCAACACTCATGAAGGCCCTGACGGTGTTCACTACCGTATGCTCCGACACCTTCCATTTTCCTTTCTAACTTTATTAACAATTTTCAACCTCATGGACGTCAGGAAATTTTTCCTTCTCACTATCTTCTTTCTCCTTCCCCATTTGGTTTCCGCCATGCCCTAAGCACGGCTGACCCCTTGATCATTTCAAGATATATATATTACATCTGCATTTGCACGTCATGAATCCGTATTAGCCACATTCTTTGACCTATAACAAGCATACGATACTACATGGCGGTACCCTATTCTCCAACAATTGTCCTTCCTAGGCATACGTGGAAGGATGGATGTGTTTATAAAGTCTTTCTCTCTCCAAATGCACTTTCCAGGTCAAAATTGCCTCTCCCACATCATCGTCTTTCCTCAGTTCGAAGGCGTCCCACAAGGCAGAATGCTCAGTACCACTTTATTCCTTCTTGCTGTTAATGACATTGTCTCAGTTCTACCGCCAGGAGCCTGGCCATCACTATATGTTGATGATTTAACCATCTTCGCCTCTGGCATATCCATACCAAATCTCTGCCAATTCCTTCAGTCTGCAATATCATCAGTATCTTCCTGGGCCACTACCCATGGCTTCCGCTTTTCTACCTCCAAATCTTTCTCCATAGGTCCCCAACTTCTATTCTTCTAATATGGCACTCCACTCCAATCCCGTTCCTCTGGCAAAATCCTAGGCGTTATCTTTGACTCTAAATTGTCCTGGCGAGACCATATCTTTTACTTTAAAGAAAAAGCTCACCGCCGTCTCCGAATCAAACTCTCCTCCATCTTCATGTTACGTTGATCCTCTCCACTCTCGATTATGGATGCCATAACTACTCCTCTGCCTCAACTTCTCTCCTTGCCCATCTTGATACAATCCATCACTGTAGTCTTCGCTTAGCCCTAGGTGCCTTCCGCTCCTTTCCAGATAAGAGCCTGTACACTGAATCAGGGTAACCATCTCTCTCTCGACGTCGTACCCTTGTCTCTCATCGATACTATGCTCGATTCCACCAACTTTCCCTCACTAAACTAACAATCCCACGATCTCTACTTCCTATGCTTCTCCACGTTTACCTACTACTTTCTCCATTCGCTTGGATACCCTCTTCTCCCATTCCCCTTTCCCCCATCTCCGACCTCTCCCGTTCTCTGTTCATTCTGTCCCTCCATGGCTTATACCTAACTCCTGTATTTGCTCCAAATGGCTCCAAATTCGCCTCTGTTTTCGCAGTAACCTTCCCAACTCGCACTTTCAAATACCCCCTCCATCATGAATCCAGTATCCTTACTACAGAACTGTACTCACTCTTTTTTGCCTTAAAATGCATATACTCGCTCCCCGCTTCCTCTTTCACTATTTTTACTGACTCTCGTTAACTCGTTAACTCTCATAAAGTCAATACACTCGACCAACCCCCTTGTTTGTAAGATCCAGAACTGGGTGTTCTACTTGTTCACACATCATAAAACTATCAGATTTTGCTGGGTGCTCAGCCATGCCTGAATCCCCTGCAATGAACAGGCAGATACTCTAGCACGCTATGTCCATATCACACCAACTACGTCTCTCACATATTCCAGCCATGAATTATTACCCCCACTTTAAGACCTCCTTGTATAACCGACGGCAATCTTTCTGGTCAAGTCTCCGTACTAATAAATTACATACTGTAAAACAATCAATCTCCTGGTCAGCGCCATTTCATCATAACAGACGCTGGGAGACGGCTCTCACCCGCTTGCGCATTGGCCACACCCGTCTAACACACTCCTATCAAATGTCACATTCTGGTCCACCCCTATGTTCCCTATGTAATGTCCCTCTTTCAGTTCCACACATTCTATTGTCCTGTCCATGCCACATCCTCACAAAATCTCATACTTTCTGCTTTGACAACCTGTTCTCTTTCCTCAGACGCATACATAGCCTTCACTTGATCTAACCCTTTTACCTAACCCGACCTTAACCCATTCACTCATCAACTCCTTTACCCAGCTTTAACCTTTCAATATTAATCTAGATAGCTGATGTATAGCAACTAACCACTAACTCAACCACCCTTCACTACCCTTTACTATACCTTCCTATGGTGCTACATGACTTTAGATGTCTAGCACATTTATTTTGCTTTTAACCATTAACCATCTTCTCCAACCCCTTCTACTTTCCATTTGCTAAGGTGTGAGAGCTGTATTGAATGGATAAAAGGCTGACTTTGTGCCAGTCATGAACGGCTTGAGGTTGCCATGGGCACGGTATTCCGGTTTAGTTCTCTAGCCCTTATCCCTCAAGGGATGGACTGTTTCTCTCCCCAACATACTCTAGGCTTACCATAGCCTAAGACTTTATACTATTATTTGGGGTAATACGGATTCATGAAATAGCCTCACTGACTAAAATTCTCCCGGCTTCCCGACTCCAGGCTCTACTTTGACCACGACTCTGAACACTGCTACTACTATCCCCTCCTCAGAGCCTGCTATTACATCATCCACCCGGGTCAATACTTAACCTCCAGGAGATATTCCTCTCCCAAAATCCTCTACTTCATCTCCACTCCCACAACTTTTTTCAGCAACTACTACTTCCTCTCTTATTACTATTCTACAACCTTATTGTCCACCTCTCCACAATGCTGCCTCCCTCAACACTACTCCCTCTTCCACACGCCCCCATCCTTCTATTACTCCCATCTCTGCAGATATCTTAAATACTCTAAATAGTCCAGCCAAATGGGGCCGATTTTTTCGTGATCCCCCCATAGCTCCTTACTCTGACAGCACTCTTCTCTTCAGCAATGTCTCCAAAAACAAGTAGATAAAGTTTCTTTCCGCAGCCGTTCACGTCTCGTCACAATTACATCCGAAACCGAAGCTAAAGCATTATCAACCCTGACAGACTTAACTGACAAACCCATTCCAGCCCAGCCTCATCCTTCCTTCAGTGCTTGTACCAGAACTGTCTCCACCTCCCCAACAACTGCCCTACAACAAAAATTGGTCAGAATGTAGTGAAGACTTCTCGCCTTCCTGGACTATGATGCAGTATCAGTACAATGCTACTCCATTCCCCCTAGAGCCCGTCGTACCCCCCCCCCCCAGAAATATTGCCAAGATTACTTTCCGTAGACATGACCTCCATTTTAATGTTATATTGGCGGAGAAGCCCTCCCTGTCCGATTATACCCCCCCCCCCCCGACAATGTCAAAATTGTTGGCGTTGAGGACATCCTGCCAAACACTGCCGCCCCACGGCCCGATGTCCTCTATGTACCCAACCTGGTTATACTCGATCAAACTGCTCTGCACATTCACGCACATATGCCAATTGTGGCGGCTCCCATATTTTAAAGGGGCTGTCATTCCTACAAATCTCAGT